ATGGGCAAAATATTTCGCTCCTGAAAAATAAAATTACATCTTATTCTATTTTTGGCAAATCCCAAAGACGCATTTTCGTAGCACTAAAAAATGGTAACAAAAAACGACGAACAAATCATTTTGGAATTCTTCTGACTTATAAAGCAGGTAAGTGTTAATTTTTATAAAATAAAAAATTTTACTTTTATGTAGTTTTTTTCTTATTCGATGATAGTTTTCTATAGAATGGTTTTCTGCGTCTGATTATGAATCAAAAAAGAAAAAACATGAAAGTTGTTTATTTTAATGTAAGGAATTTTTAGAATTGGTTTTTTCTTTTTTGCTTTGTATCGTAAGCATTCTTTATTTTACGTTTTATAGTTTCTGAATAATGATTTTTATTGAAACTTGAAATTTTTTGATAAAAATTGTTGTCAAAAATTTTTTTTACTAAATTAAATTTCATAAAATTATGAGGCTTATATATACTTTTTGTTCATTTTAATTTTTGAAGTAATATGATTCTTAAAACTATAGAATGTAAAGTTTAAATGGGCCTTTCATGTTATATCATTAAATTTAGTAAAACTATTTCTCGGGCATTAGGTTTTAACTCTTATAAGAATATACATATTTTTTTCTGTTTATGTGCAAATATTTTTCCGATGTGTTTTGGATGTTCCTTCTCTAAAAAAAAGAGATACCATTTTGTTTTCGTTTGCATAAGAAAGGATATTAAACATTTTTCTTTTTTAAATTTAATTAGCAACGATAAAGAAGAAACGTTGCAATGCTACAAGCTATACTAAAGACGTCTCTAGTGTAAATGAATGACTGTTCATATAGAAATCGCAGGTATTAGTCTCATACAACAACGCCTCCTATAGTTCGTTGCGATAGCAAATTCGCGTTTTTGATATTCTATAAGAAAAATGTTTGATATTCTTTCTTATGCAAACGAAAACAAAATGATATCTCTCTTTATTTAGAGAAGGAACATCCAAAACAAATCGGAAAAATATTTGTAAATTAACTGAAAAAAAAAATATGTATATTCTTATCACAGTTAAAACTTATTGCCCGAGAAATAGTTTTACTAAATTTAATGATATACCATGAAAGGCCTATTTAAACCTTACATTCCATAGTTTCAAGAATCATATTACTTGAAAAATTAAAATGAACAAAAAGTATATGTAAGCCACATAATTTTATGAAATTTAATTTTGTAAAAAAGGTTTTTTGACAACAATTTTTATCAAAAAATTTCAAGTTTCAATAAAATTCATTATTTGGAAACTAAAAAACGTAAAATAAAGAATGCTTACGAAACAAAACAAAAAAAGAAGAGACAATTCTTTTCTGTCGCCATTTTTTAGTGCTACGAAAATTCGTCTTTGGGATTTGCCAAAAACAAAACAAAATGCAATTTTATTTTTTCAGAAGAGAAATATTTTACCAAAAAAACGAAAATGTACCAATTCCCATGACATGAAGCTCTATCTTGGAAAGCGTACGTTTCGGAAATGTTATCTCATTTGGAATCTTATTTATTAAAGTTAATATGGTGATATCATCAGGTGAACGAAAATAAAAGTTTGTTTTGAAACTATGTTAAACTTTATATCAGCCCATTTCTCACTGAAATTCGATAGACTACTTTGATTTTAAATAAAGTTTTATTTTATGATTTGTGACAAAAATTTTAGGTGTAGATTGGCGGCACTTAAAAACTGCCTAATCTGTAGTTGCGGTGGCGTCAATACATGGGTACCGAATTTTTATTACATACTTTTCTGAATCATTTTACTTCAAACATTAGAATATGCAAGAAGTATATATAAACATATAATGTTATACCATTTAATTTCTCAAAAAAGTATTTTGACAACAATTTTTAGCTGAAAATCATGAACTAAAAAACTTAAAACAAAGAATTCTTAGGATAAAAAAACGATTTAAAAAATTTTTCATATTGAAATAAAAAAACTGTCATATTGTTTCGTTCTTATCTATTATATATAATTCTCATTTGCTTTGTTTTGTTTACGTTTTGAAAACACCAAAGCATTCTGCCTTTTAATTATGTGTTTCTGATCTAATATATATAATTCTCTTACGTGACTCCCAAATTTTGGCTGAAGTACTTTGTACAACTAACTAAGATTCTTTTCACAACACTTAAATATTTACTTTATTTTCTTCATATATCAGTCGGCAAAGAATTCTGTTAGGTTAAAAAACATTTCGCTTAAAAAATAACGAATTCTAAAAAAAATAAAAATAAACAATTTAAAAAATAAAAATGCTGTTGCCAACCATAGAAATTTTTGGAAGTTATCAACATAAATCAAAATGACATAGAAGTGCAACTAGATCAAAATTATGATACTTGAGCTCTTGACGTAACAAATCCTTCAATTCTATAAGTGTTGTATCACCAGTCCTGTATAAAATAAAAAACTTATAGTTGTTCTGCTTCTGAACACAGGTGAAAACACAAAATGATGGGCTTCATCAACAATTACTTTTCTCAACAACTGAAATTTAGAATAGTGTGATTAAGTAAAATATGTGAACTGTTTGCAATTTCAAATTAATATTGAAATGCACAGGTTTAGAATTTTCTACAGTGAAAAGTTTTCGGAACTTCAGTATTTAAAAACCAGACGTTAAGAATGTACCCAAGCGAGCGAAGCGAGCATTGGATTGCTAAGCAATCCGAAATGAACTGCGAAAGCAGTTCCGGGGGTAGGAGAGCGCCAGCGAGCAGGGGGCGAAGCCTCCTAGTAGTTCATAATCAGACGTAAAAAACCATTCTGTAGAGAACTATCATCAAATAAGAAAAATAATTATTTACAAGCAATTTTTTATTATATAAATCATAACACGCACCTTTTTTATAAATCCGGAGAATTCCAAATGAAATGTTCTTCGTTTGAAAACTTTATTTTCAAATAATATCTACATAGATTATTCCTTAATTACTTTTAGATAACATACCACACATCGAAATTTTATAACTGTATGATCTCGATATGAATTTTAATATGTAGCTTGAAAACAAAATAGCTGAATTCTAGTTGAAATTATTATGCTTGCCATGAAAACAATAAAAATTTATTAATAATTAGCACAAATGAAACTGTTTCAAGTAATTCGGAGGATTCTTTATTGTTGTTTTCCGAATTAAACTCATATTTGTGAAAATTGCAACACCATGAAGGAATCGTCATAATTGAATGAAATTTATTGCACAGTTGAGTGGTAGTGGTACAAATAAATGATTAAACTTTCAAAGCAAACAAACAATAACAAGAGATCAAAATCAGTATTTTGTGTAGCCACCAAGCGCAGCAATAAGTGCTGCTACACGACGTGGCATTGAGTCAAGCAAATTTTGAATGTCTGTCTGAGGAAGAACATTCCATATTGTTTGTATGCGTACCCAAAGCTCGTCTGTAGAAGCAACAGGACGAGGATCCCGAGCGAAACGCCGACCAACGAAATCTCATACATGTTCAATCGGCGACATATCCGAGGAATACGCTGGCCAAGGAAGAAGCTGTACCTTCCGCGATGCAAAAAAGGATTAAACAGTCCTAGCAATATGAGGGCGGGCATTGTCCTATTGAAATACAGCGCCTGGCAAGGTTTGAAGGAAATGAACAGCTTGGGGCTGTAGAAATTCCCTGATGTACCGGTTGCTGTTCAGATTACCCACAATTCGTAGCAATTGAGATCGTCCATGATATGCTATGGCCCCCCAGACCATAACTCCGCGTGTTTGTCCCCTGTGGCGTTCGATAATGCACTCCGGAAGGTGGCGTTCACCAGCATAACGTTTGACACGAATGCTGCCATCATGGTACCACAAATTAAAGCGGGATTTGTCAGAAAACACGACACGCTGCCAATAAGCCCGCCAGTCACTATGCTGATTGGCCCGTTGTAGCCGCAGGCGGCGATGGTTTAGAGTGAGGGGGGTCCTGTATAAAGAAGTCCTTGCGCGCAGTTTACGCTGCAGCAGACGTCTACGAATTAATGAAGCACTCAATGAAACACCTGTAGCTATTGACCACTGTGCTGTCAGTTGTCCAGAGGGAGCCGTACGATCCCTCAGAGCCATGCGGACCAGGTGTCTGTCATCGTGAGCTGGTGTGATATTTCGGGGTCCACTCCCGGATTTTCGAGTTGTCCGACACTCGTCCGTCCACTGCTTCCAAACACGCATCACTGTGCTGCTGTTACGTTGCACACGAGTGGCTACTACACGATAAGACAATTCAGCTTCACAAAGGCCGATGATTCTCCCCCGTTCAAACTCCGTAAACTGTTGAAGTCTCGCTCTCTTTCATCGAAGAAGCATAAGTAATGACTAAGCTAACGTTTACCACTAGCAGATGACCACCGATAACCATACACACCTCGCTACAGCCGTCTATTTATTCGGATTGATCCGCAGTACAGAGGGATCTGCTCAGCATACGTCGACCCCACCCTTTTTTCCATTTTGACAGNTCATCGAATAAGCATAAGTAATGACTAAGCTAACGTTTACCACTAGCAGATGACCACCGATAACCATACACACCTCGCTACAGCCGTCTATTTATTCGGATTGATCCGCAGTACAGAGGGATCTGCACAGCATACGCATGCGCAACGGGTCTGAAATTCTAATCATTTGCATATCATGCTCTACTTTGTATATCCTGAAAATTTCAGCTCACTCGCGTAAGTCCTTCATGGTGTTACAAATTTCACAAACATGAGTTTATATAGATATAGAAATATTTACTATTCTATAAAGAAGAAGAATATTCCATAACTATTACAGATCTCTATGTTCTGATGGATGGATCACCAAGGATGTCTCATCCTTTATCCTGTCTGTTTCCTATTTTATAGATTGCGACTGTCCCTGATATTTTGAGGATAAAAAATCGAAATTCAAGGAAAAAAAAGTTGTGTTTAATCAGATAAAATATTTCTGATCTCATAAACTTTAATATGGTATGCGAAATTTTTAATAAAAGTGTTCACTTTTTGTTACGTTGCTATAATGTATAGTGTGTCTAGTTTGGGTTACAGTTCTTTGAAAGCATGATGACATTAGAAACAAAAAGTACTTGATTGGTTCTTGTGAAAGCCCATCCCTTTTTCGCTGCAAGTTACTCTGTAGCCTTGAAATGACTTACAAACTGGAATAAAGTGTTGCAATTGTTTTCCCACCGCTAAAGCACAAAGTTGGGAGATCAGACAGACGAATCCATACCTTTATTTCCAGAGAATCGTCGGCGAATGTTGTCATTTATTAATAGGAATCTAGAATCAACTTCGACCATAGGAATAGAATAGGGCTCCAAGTTCTTATAGTAGCACCTATTTAAATTAAACACATGCTTCAATGAGGGGCTTTATACTTCATGTTTGGATGAGTCAATTTTAAGAAAGAAATTCAATAAGGAAAAAAGAATCAATAAACGATAAATAATTTAATGCTAACGTTTTTAAATATTTTACGTTGAAATTTCGTAAATTTTAATTGAATACATATTTTGGAATTATAGAATGTACTATATGCTTTTCAATGCATATTAATTTGGGATGTGTTATAAGCATTTAATTTTTTTCAGCGTGTTTACTTTTTCTTTACAGCTTGACATATTTCAAGAAGTCAAGTGTTTCCACAGCAACTGAGAATGGTTTTTTGAGTGGTTGTTGGACTTTGAATACTGTTTTTGGAAGACCAAATGCAAAGCCAAGTGTAGTGACTTCGAGTGGGAGTAAGTTATAAAATTTTGTTTCCTCGTATCATGAAACTTTGTTTACCGAACATTTTAAAGCTATTTCCCACTTGACATAACGAAAAGTTTTATCAATGACTAACAAATTTTCTTTCTCAAGGTGAAAATTCACTTAGTTTATAAATGGAAATGAATGACTCCAAATTAAATAAGATTAGTTTATGTGTTTGAAAATGTCTGTTAAATAGAATGTTATGATTCATTCAAGTATTCCCAGACAAAATATTCTTCAGAAAAGTAATTAAAAAACTTTTTTACGCAAAGTCTGCAGTTGTTTTTCTTTCTTCAAAAAACAACTTTTCTTTAAAGAAAAAGCATAACCATAAAATAAACTAGTTACTTTGAAATTTTAGTTTAAATGTCTTTAAATTAAATTTTTACTTTTCTAGGTAATTTTTTAACGAAAAATTTCAGTTTTTCAGATGTTAAAAAAAATAAGGCGAAGAAAATTGAAGGAAATTTAAACTATTAAGAATGACTGTAAAATAACCAGTTCTTTTAAGCCTATCATTTTTAGGTTAACAACTTAAAGAAAAATTTGAAAGACTATATAATCTCATAGAAAGATCCAGCAGGTGCTAATGTTTAATGGAAAAACTAACTTTCTAGATGCTCTATTTTTAAGTAGCCTTATATTTGTACTAAGGAATTTTTTGTTCCGTTTTTGTTATAAAACATTTTATGTTAGAAAGTTAGTTTATCAAAAATCAGTTGTGCTTTTTAAGTTTTACAAGTAATGATTTTGTAGTTTTCGTGAAATAAATTTCTTCTGGCAATCTATATTTTGAATTTATTTTTAAGATATTGGATAATATTCTTAAGACACGATAATATTCTTAAAATATTGAATAATATTTAAAAATCACAATTTTGAAGGTATTGAAATTATTCAATAAAATATAGAAATTATAGATAAAATTATGTATATAAATATAGATATTAACAATATTAATTATAGAAAATATGTTCCATATTTTCAATAAAATATAGAATAAAATTTTCAAGAAATATATAGAAATTCAGTTCTCTTTTCTCATTTAGGAGATTAAGAGCTCACTTAGTATTGGTTTTTCAGTGTTTTCTTAACCCTAATCAGAACATTGTCAAATGCTTACGTTTAGGCAAAAGAAATATGGTGCAGAGAGCATTTACCTGTAAATATCAATTAAGAAAGGGAAATTTTAAAATTATACCTTAAAACAATATCTTAAATTACACTTTAAAAATAGTGTAAAAATGTAACAGCCTAGCCCCGCTGTAATTAACTCGAGATATAGTGAACGCTCACTCAGATTGTCGAAGTGGTTTTTTCCGAACTGTCATTTTAATTATTGTTTTTATATACGCCTACAGTGAACAGCTGAGAAATGGGCAGCTCGCTTATAGTGGACTCAAATTTCTTTATTTTTTAATTATTTATTCAAATAAGGAAATTTAAAATTTTTAGTCAATGTGGGATAGTTTTCGAAACTACGTAGTTATACTCTCAATAAAAATGAAGTAATGTATATTGCAAAGAAGTTTTAAAACTAGTCATTTTGCTGGAATTAATTATGCGAGTGATTCCAAAAGATTGAGCAGAAATTCTTTTTTTCTTACTTGAACCTTTCCAGTTGACTTCACATACATCTTGGGTTCCAGTCCCAGACCTCATTCTTTCATTCTCTGCACTATATATCTGTCCTTACTGTGGGAGCAACGACTCCCCTGAAAGAGTGACTAAGAAATCTTCTTTACTGATACCACAATGACGAGTGTCAATTCGGTGAACAGTGGAAGCAATATTGCACCTTTCTTCAAAAATGAAGGAAATATAAAAGATAAACATATAAATTAGTTCGTAAATTGACAAAAATTTAAAAATTTCTTTTTTGAAAAGAGATAAATAAGTATAGAAATGCAAAAAAAAATAAGAAAAAAAGACAAATGCATAAAAAAAACATGGACCAGTTACATTAATTAAAATTATTGAAAAGAAGGAAGATGCCTGTTTAAATAAATCCACAAGTTTGATGCATAAACAACTTATTTTTAAGAATATAATGTTAAAATTGTAATATTTAAAAACAACAAGAAAAGTTTCAAATTTTATAAATTCAACGTGAAACCGATTTTAATCTCGATTAGTTTTTCATTCAACACCTTTAAAGAATGCAATTTTATGAATCAGACACAAAAAACTTAACGAATTTTACTTGTATTTTTATTTTATTGTTAAAGGTCATTCTAACAAATATTTAGGCTACATGGTTTTCTTGAATAAGTAGGATTTGCAAGTAGCATCCTTATGCATTCAATCCGAAATTGACTTTTGCAAGCATGCTTTTTCCCTAAGTTCTTCAATTGCGATCAGTTAATCATCAAATATGGTTACTAAAGTTTTTTTTGTTTTATTCATTTATTCAAAAACTTATTTTACTATTCTCACCATCACTACCGACATCTGATACGATAACCTTATTTAAATTAGAGTTTGTAAGGCCCTTAAAGTTAAAAAATGTTGGGGCAAAACTAAGAACATGTATTTTATTATGTTTATATTCACCACAATATTTAATATTTAATTTCAAAAACTCGTAAATTTGGGGTTACGAAATGTTGGGTTTCAAAATTTAATTTTAAACTTAATGCTAACTTTATAATTTCGAAAGATACTGATACTACAGTGTTCTAAATTTATTAAGGACTAGATTCTTGACTTTTTAAATGAAAAGTCAAATTAAAAAAAAAAAGTTTGTAATTCTTGAAAAAATTAAAATTCGTCAGAAGTTGGAGTCAACGCCTTAAGGTATCTAGTATATTGCAAAGTAAATTTTACTTAGAGTTTATCTTTGTATTTTGCAGTTGTAGATTATTTAGAGATTTGCTAATTTTAGTTAGAATTTTACCAGTTTTAATTGTTGAATTCGAGAAAATAATGTGACCATCTACCCTTAGATATTTCCAGCATTTATGTAAACAAATCCTTTCGTTGGTATTTTTTTATCTTATGAAATTATAAGATGATGCTCGCAGAAATTATAGGTGAAAAAATAGCTTATCAACAATATTTAAAAATTAATGCTGTTGGTAGGAACTAATCAGCCCACCGCTTTATATAAGGTAAAAATGTTTAATAAAAGAAATTATCTCAAACTTAATGCGCATGTGGTAGATAACTCTTTTAAGTTTACTTTTTTAAATTTACTTTAGTAATTATTAATTTACTAAAAGTTAAATTAATAATTAAACTTTTTGATCAATAAGTCTGTGACACATTTTCTGGTTAAATAATATGTGACTCAATTAATATAAAACTATAAATAGAATCAAAATGTTTGAATTCCTTCCAATAGGATTTAAGTGGATACCTTTTAAGCATTTCGAACATTGCAAATATTGTAAAACATATAGCTGAATCCATAAAACATCTCATTTTTTAATGTAAAAATTATATAAAACAAATAAATTTTGTAAATTTATATTTTGATTAATTAATATAAATAGTTTATTTAGTGTAATGTAGCAAACTTTTATGTATTCTTTCCTATCAGTTCTCTTATTTCAGTTGCTTTTTAAGTCTCTTTTTACAAAAACTAATCAATTTTATCATCGAATTTTAAATTGCGAAGGGGGGGGGAGTATTAAGAGGATAAACTAACTCAGAAATTGTGCTAAATTATTTCTTTATGATTCGCCGAAGTATTGTTAGATATTCGCTCTTTGGAAAAATGAGTTAAAATCCTTAAAAATGTTAATTTCTTGAACTATCTTGATGTATGTTAATTGAGACAAATATAAAAAATGTCAATATTTTGACTCAAACAAAAACATATTATAGCGTATCTTAGAGTTTAAATAGCAAGGTTCTAACCTTGCTATTTAATTCAAAAAAAAGGAATTCAAAAAAAAGTTAATGTAATGTAAAAAAGTTAATGTAAAAAAGTTAAAGGAATTCAAAAAAAAGTTAAAAGATAATATTTCTTAATGATTTAGTTTTCTGCTGCTTACTAGGGTCTTTGTTTTTGCATCATCAAGGAAAACTAATGGCCAATGTGAAAATGATACAAATAACCATTTAAAAAATAGCATTTGTAAAATAACAAGTATTTTTCCAATATCGAATTTTTAAAGAAGTTGTCTTCCTTCTAATACAATAGTTCACTCATGAAACTACAGATCATGCATCCTACTACCCTACGCCTGAGCTCAAGAATTTGCACTTCATATGATTTGCGAATGATACTAAGTAAACTTGGTTTCTAGTAAAACGAATGGATATTATTTACATACTCATTTCGTTAGTTTAATAAAAAAAATAATTTAAAAAATTAAAAGAAAGGAAAATTTAGGTTTATAATACCCCAAATTAAACAAGAGTAACACTTGTTACAGTTTTTTAACTCTGACATTCCTTTCATGAGATAACTTCCTGTACCGACGATTTTGTTCGTTTTTTATTATTAATTAAGGGCAGCTTGCGCATTCTTGTAATTTTTTAATTTCATATTTGAAATTCTAAAGTCGAGTGACACGTATGAAATGATCCCTAGTTCAGAGAATCAAAGTTAAATAGCTGCAAGTCTGATTGTTTCGAAAAGAATTAACTACTTCGGTGCAATGAAACAATTATCAAAAAATTATTAATATCCTTTATTACGAAATATTAGTTCCAAATTTGTATTTATATATTTATATTAAAAAAGATATATATTTATATTAAAAAAGAGTATATCTTTTAATACAATACATTGAATAATCTTAATCATTTTTTTAAATAAAATTGTATTTTTTTGGACATTTTTATAAAAACTGAATGTTTTAAATTATTATTTGTATCTACACAAAATTATGATTATTAATTAAAAACAGTTTTCTTGTTTAATAATCGTAATGAGTAAAGATAATTGAATCACATGAAAGCATTAATTAATATGACTATTCGTAGGAAAAAGTAAAAAGGGTTTTGAGATGTCTTACATTAACTACAACAAATAGGTAACTTAATAGGTAACTTAATAGGTAAATTAGGTAACAACCATTTTGCCAACCGGTGATGGCCTTTCGGTTATCACAGTTTTTTTTCCACTTATATATTTATTTATTTATACTTGTGGATTGAATAAAAAGTTTTATTGCAATATTTGATTTTTTTTTCATTTAATTATTTCAGCAATAATTCTCAATATATCAATTGATGAAAGTGAATATATGTCTCTTTTTCATCCTCCTGAAGGGTTAATATCTTTCCACAATCCGTACCAAATTGTCAATCCTCACATTGCAGGCTTCACTTTATCTACTGAAAATCAACGACATACTTTTCATTTAAAGAAGGTAACTCTATTTATACATTAAAACTCATACTTCTATGCCATTAATTAGCTGAATATGTACTTTTCGCTTTAGGTACAAATTAACAAGCTTTTAATCAGTATTTATCTATACTACAATATAGTGCAATAAACTGAACTAAGTTTATAAGTATAATTAAAAAAGCGAAGTTTAAGATTTTATTTCACAAGTATCTAAACAATCAAAGGTATCGTTCCCTATTAGATTCTAATTGCTATATTTTCAGCCACATGGTGATCAGAAATAAAAAAAAAAAAAATTGGCGATTTATAGTCAGTATCTCAAACTTTTGAGAGATTTAAAATTTGTGGATAAGTAAGAGAAAAAGCATGATCTAAACACTTCTTAAGTTCTAAAATAATCACCTACGTATTTCTTGAAAAATATAAAAAATGTCAAAAAATGTAAGGTCTGCGTACCATTATCGTAAGTAGAAGAGGCCGCAACAAAATAAAGCCTTGCTTACTCATTGAAGAACAGTAATAAAGATCTCAGAAACAAAATTTCGAGGTTTCTTTCCCAATCAAATCGTAAAAATTTGTCCAATGTGTTGCGGCACCTGAGCCGGAGTGTTTTAAGAAAGTCATTAAAAGTGTAAAACTAAATCTTGGCTGAAAAAAGCGTCTAAGGAGCTATTATCGATATAATTTAGGGCACATGGCAAAAGACTGTCAGAATGATGAGTTAAAATAGAGCCTTTCATTATAACGAGATCGGATATCGCGCCAAGACTTGCCAAGAGAAGATCTAATGCGTTAACTGCCATGAAACAATCGTAAAATTTGGATCACTCTTGGAAGTTGACCAGAGTGCTTTAAAAAGTCCTATTCGTATACAAACGAGCAATTTAAGGAAAAATAACTTACAACTACATTAGTCCAGAAATCAAATGTGATTGTAAGCCAGTTATGGCATTCTCCAATATGCTGCACCTATCAAATTTTTATTTTATTTTAATTATTAATTTAGAATTTTTTTTGTAATTGGTTTTAATGAAGCTTTTTCGACGCCTTCCACCCGGAGGACCACTTTACAGTTCGCTGTTAATCTTCTGTTGGCTACCTTGAGATCTTCCAATCTAGAGTGGTTTCAAGACATGCCCTCATGTTTGGCGATTTTTTTTCTAGGAGCGGCTGTGATTCTTGACTTCGCCGCCACGTAAGCTCATGTTTGTGAAAATTGAAACACCATGAAGGACTTACGCGAGTGAGCTGAAATTTTCAGGAAATGCAAAGTAGAGCATGATATGCAAATGATTAGAATTTCAGACTCGTAGCGCATGCGTATGCTGAGCAGCTGCCTCTGAACGGCGGATGAATCCCAATAAATAGACGGCTGTAGCGAGGCGTGTATGGTTATCGGTGGCTATCTACTTGTGGTAAACGTTAGCTTAGTCGTTACTTATGCCTCTTCGACGAAAGAGAGCGAGATTTCAACAGTTTACGGAGTTTGTGACTGGGGGGGAATCATCGACCTTCGTGAAGCTGGATTGTCTTATCGTGTAGTAGCCGCTCGTGCGCAGCGTAACAGCAGCACAGTGATGCGTGTTTGGAAGCATTGGACGGACGAGTGTCGGACAACTCGAAAATCCGGGAGTGGACCCCGAAATGTCACGTCAGCTCGCGATGATAGACACCTGGTCCGCATGGCGCTGACGGACCGTACTGCTCCCTCTAGACAGCTGACAGCAGAGTGGTCAATAGCTACAGGTGTTTCATTGTGTGCTTCATCAATTCGTAGACGTCTGCTGCAGCGTAGACTACGTGCAAGGACTCCTTTATACAGGATCCTCCTCCCGCTAAACCATCGCCGCCTGCGGCTACAAAGGGCCAATCATAGTGACTGGCGGGCTTATTGGCAGCGTGTCGTGTTTTCTGACGAATCCCGTTTTAATTGGTGGTACCATGATGGCCGCATTCGTGTCAGACGCTATGCCGGTGAACGCCACCTTCCGGAGTGCATTATCGAACGCCACAGTGAACGAACAACCGGAGTTATGGTCTGAGGTGCCATAGCATATCATAGACGATCTCAATTGCTGCGAATTTTGTGTAATCTGAACAGCAACCGGTACATCAGGGAAGTTCTACAGCCCCAAGCTGTTCCCCTTCCTTCAAGCCTTGCCAGGCGCTGTATTTCAACAGGACAATGCCTGCCCTCATATTGCTAGGACTGCTTAATCCTTTCTTGCATCGCGGCAGGTACATCTTCGTCCTTGGCTAGCGTATTCCCAGGGTATGTCGCCGATTGAACATGTGTGGAATTTCGTTGGTCGGCGTCTCGCTCGTGATCCTCGTCCTGATGCTTCTACAGACGAACTTTGGGTACGCATACAAACAATATGGAATGCTCTTCCTCAGACAGACATTCAAAATTTGCTTGACTCCATGCCACGTCGTGTACCAGCACTTATTACGGTGCTTGGTGGCTACACAAAATACTGATTTCGATCTCTTGTTATTGTTTGTTTGCTTTGAAAGTTTAATCATTTATCTGTACTACTATCACTCAACTGTGTATTAAATTTCATTCAATTATGATTATTCCTTCATGGTGCTGCAATTTTCACAAACATGAGTTTAGAAAGGGTTGAGAAGTTCTTCCTTCTTAGAAGAGAAACATTTTGCTTTGTCTTTCTCTTTAAAAAGAAAAAAAAGGAACTTAATTTTTGATTTATTGTTGTCAGTCGTATGCTGTATGTCGATATTTATTCACTGAAAACTGATGTAATTAGTTACGTTAAAATTTAAGTGAAAGATAAAACAGTTCTGTTGCATTTAACATACCTGTATTTATTCAACCACTTTTTTTTAAGATATCAGTACTAGAAATTATCATTTGGCATTGTCTTATAAAATGAATCCTAACAGATCAAGAAAAATTAGTTTACTAAGCACTAGTTGGCTTCGATAGCTTTAGGGCAAAAAATGTTCTACTAAATCTTTTATCTTAAGCTTTATAAACTGAAAGAAAATGAAAAGCAGCGAAACGTACTGTTCTAAATGGCAAAAAAGAAGTAGTATTCTCTGACCGAAATTTTGATGAGAATAATTTTATTTTGATAGAAAAACAAGCACCGGAGTTCGACGTGCGAAATATTAAGGAAGAGATGAATAGATCTTACAATTAACTGACACAAATTCGTCAAAGCATACAACTGAAAAAACTTTTTTTTTTGAATTTAAAAAAATTAAAGCTCTAAAGGATTTATCAAATATATTACATATAAAACCAAATTTACGAAAAGAAATTCAGACCAACACGCATCAATAAAAGAAAACCAAAAATGGGCTTATTTTAACAAACAAAACAAAAAAACGCCCGGCAAGTGAGCTCTCCCCCCCTTACAAAAGATAATCAGAAACGGCTTTACGAAAAGAAAGATGTTTAAGGGATAATATTGTAACCAGTATAACAAACGCAAAATCACACAGCTCAAATCAATAATAAATTATAGAATATTGTTAAATAAAAGTAAAGGATTAATAAATTAAACAGAAATTGCAATGCTATTGAACCAAAATTTAAAATAATTACAATAAACTAAACATTACTGCGCTAAAATATCTATAATAATAAATGAATTTGAAATAGATTTAAATTTACATATTAAATCATATTTAAGATATATTATTATTAACTTATAATAGAATTATTACATTTGAAAAACTTTTTTAATTTAAAATGACTTATTCAAATAAACTACTATTTATAACATGGACATTTATATTAGACTCGATTTACAAAAAACAAATACATTTTATATTATCTGTTAAATCATTAGTAACTCTGATTTTGTTTGATACAACTAGTATTTTTTTTTTAATTTTTGTATTTTTTTCTTAGATGAGTAGTATTAATAATTATAGTTTTATTAATTTTGTTTTCATTATTTAAGTATCACATGTCAATAACATAACTAATTATTCTTATTTAAAAATTTAAAAGAATAATTCTTTTTAGAAATGTAATTTTTTTTAGAAAGATTGTAGAACTTAGGGTAAAACAGGGATTTACCATAGCAAAATTCTTAGTGAATAGTTTCTCGAGTTAGCCATCATTGGGCGACTTCAATATGTTACAGTAGGAGAATATCAAACAAAATCTACTCATTTTTACTTCAAATATTTTTGATTATTCTTTGATAAAAATGAGTACATCGAAGGGAAGGAGGAGGTTCACCAAACAAGAGTCTTGAAACGAAAATATAGGAAATCGCCTGCCCGGTTTCGATTATCGGCGGCAGACACTGCCTTCCTATGAACCTTGGTTTTATTGTCTGCCTCTTAAGCTCATGGATAAGATTGTGGTTGTTCCACGTATTGCATGTTTCGATCGACACACACGACGACTCGTGCATTTCCAACAAATGGACCTCATGGGAGTCAAATCTTAAATTATTATATTTTGGGACCATTCAGTCATTTTGCTTTGAGATTTGATTTAATTCAAATGATTGTGTGTAAAAATATTTCACGATGACCCAGGGGAGAGATCGTTCGCCTTCCAATGAGGTGAACCGGGTTCGAATCCCGGAGATGGTTGGTCATGAATTCCGCATCTGGCTTGCACCGACCACAGTTCTGACCTGAAATATGCTCAGTGGAAGACAGATCATGGGTTAAAGTTCCCTTGCAGTCAGGCTAACCGTGGAAGGTTCTAGTGGTCTTCCTCTCCATGTAAACGTAAATGCGGTCTAGTTCTATTAAAAAGTCCTCCACGAAAGCAAAATTTCTTCCAATACTTGATCCAGGAGTTCCCTTCTCTTCTGGATTGGGTTCAAAATTACAAGGCTACGGAATTGAACATTAGCAGTAGCAAACCTAAAACATTGGGTCGGCTGTTCAACGACGGATATCAAGCAAAATTAAATATTTCACTAATTTTTGTACAAGTAGCGAAAGACTGAGGTGAGAGCCATAGATACAAATCCGATGTATAGAATGGGTTAAATTTTCTTACTCTATTTACAGGTGGTGAAGAAACTTCTTCCATATCCATATGACACAAATTGCATTGATTACATGTCCAGATGGAAAGAAAGAGGAGGAAAGGGACCAATGAATAATGTAGTAAGAAAGATCATAAGTTTTTTCTCATCTAGCCATATATATATATACAGTACAGAACCCGTTATCCGGAAATCAGAAAACCGGAAAACCAAAAAACCGGAACGAAATTATATGAATTTTCCCGCCATTTTTTGAAAAAAAAAGTTTTTTTCCTCATAAGGTTTTAGGATTTTCTTTCTATTTTGAAAGATATTTATCTTACCATCATTTTGGAAATAATCATTAGTGTATTACTTCATCGTTTTTTCTTCTTTTTAAGATTGTTCCCAAATTTTTTTTCTTTTTTAGTTGGGTTTAACAATAAAAAAACGGCTTTTTGTAGTGATTCAGAAAACCGGAAAAATCAGTCATCCGGAATAGTGATGGTCCCGATCGTTCCGGATAATGGGTTCTCTACTGTATATTAGAGAGGGACGAAAAACGCTATAATGATTGGCGTTATTATCAAGTTATATTGAGAGTGGAAAAGATGCTTTATTTAAAAGGGAAGAAATTGACACAAGAAAATTGATTTGGGTTGTTGCCTCGCGCATGATACTTAAAACTCATAAAGACTGAGAAATAAGAGTTTTTAAAAACTTTTCAATATCACTTGAAATAGCGCGATCGTAATTGTAAAGCTTCTAATGCTTATTTTATAGTTTTAAAAAAGGGAAATACATTAAAGAATTGTTATTAATTCAATGATTTCTAATTATTGATTTCTCAATGCGCTTAAAAGACGGGAATTATATATATTTTTTCATATTTCTCGCCATTTACTTCTGCGGCCAGTGAGCCACCATATTTCTTATCCACTTGCAATTCTGTAATCGACTTGCTATAGTTTATGTTTATTTTATGGATTAAAGAAATGAAAATGTATTTATAATAATAACAAAGTCATGTAATGTGTTAGAAAGTACCATAACCGAATAGTTACAACATAGAGGATGGATGTGGGTGATTGTTTGTCTCCGTGGAGTAGCCCAACTTTCCATCTCTAGCCTTGGAGATTCATTACGATGGAAATGTCTGTAAACGTTACAGTACATGCCATACCTGAGGTACAATGTCAAATAAAGACTATAATTGGACTGTAGCCACCAAAAGAAAACACCGCATCCGACCTGTTTTGTCAACTATTAGCACCCCTTCAAGGTAAACCGTGTTCAAACATTAGAAAAATATTTGTATAAATGCTTGTCATATCTGTTTCACTCTCGGCAACTCACAGCAATTAGTCAGGAGGTGAGAAATGATTCAGTGTGATGTTTTCCGATGGATCCAGGAGTTGCTTGCAATCTGATTCACGTCAGAATTTTACACGAAAACCCATTACCACCAATCATAACCGTTATGATGGTACAGGATTGATCGTTTGGGGTGGAATCATACTGGGCTCCAGAACTGCATTTTTAAATCCGGATGATAAACCAACGTCATTCTGAAACAACATGCTTGCCCGAAATCCATCATTAACTTTCTCAATGTATGCCGAAATTCGGAGAGCGTTGCTTGCTGAGAGTAGATAAGCTCTATATTTTGATACTCAGCATGCCTAATCGTTGTACGGACTGTAGTTCACTGCATGGCAGATATGTTGACAGCATTCCTCGTATAAGATTTAATCCAGTGGTGATTTTACCCACTAGCGTTTCGTAGATTTGACGGATGACAGCAAGATATTTGCAGATGATAGAATGGAAGTTACTATAAATAGAATGGGTTCAGGTGTTGTATTTGACAAGAAAGGTTCCGCTATTCACCCTGCCTGTTACAAATTACTTGACACAACCAGCATCTGTTCAGATGAGCTAATTACAATTCGATAGTGAAAGGATAACAATATAAACGGAGCTTTAATATTGACCTAAAGATTCTTGCTCCTAGTTATACTCCCTCGAAAATATAGCACCATTAGTGAAACTCATTGAAGAGATTAAGACTATTCATGGAGAAAAAGAAACATCAAACTGAAAGGCATTCTGTCTGTTCGTAAAAAAGGCTAATAATAAGAGAAGAGAAATATTAAATTGGAGTTATTCAGCCAAAAAAATGAAAATGACTTAGTGAATGCCTCCTTCCTTAGCTATCCTAATTCAACACTACATCTACCACTCCATAATTTATTCTTCCGATTGTTCTAATGTCATTTCTGTGTTTGGAAAGGAAGTAAAACTTTAGACATTTTACTCCTCAAAATTGTTCGAAAATCAGGAAGATTATAGAATCAACAACAGCATATATATAAATATATATATATTGGCGAGCGTTAGCGAGCAGGGGGCGCAGCCCACTAGTATTAAATAAAACTCGATGATTAACGTTTACGGGATAGCATGAGCTGAAGTAATATTTTCTGAAGTTATGTAAAGTCAGGCATTTATTTTGTTCCTAACATCAGAAAAATAGAATTATCTATTGTTTATTTTGCGAAAATGTAGATGTAGAATATAAGAAAAATAAGTTCATCGTTTTCTCTGCATTATATAAGGTTTGATTCTGAGTAAAGTAACATTATCTATTATTTTACTTTGTTTTTTGGTGATACAAATTATTATATTTTATATTTTTTGCAAGTATAATCATCTTCTTTCGGGGAGAGGGAATAATCGCGAAAAAAAATTTGACGGTAGTAGAGTAATTTGGCGATATAATTTTATTTAGTTTTTGTATTGTTGTGAAGCAGTAAAACATGGAACATTGGCTATCATGACGCTAAGTTCTCAATACAGTTAATTATTATTCTGATGAAATGAACTAAAAAAAAAACTTGTTTTGTTTCATTTGAAAACATTAAAATTTGAGGAAAGGGCAACAAATAATAATAAATAGACAAATAATAGATTTGCTTTATTAATTGTGTCGTTACAAGCCTTTTATTTTTGCGAATGATTTCGTAGTATTGTTCAGTACTGTGCAATTGATTTTTTCGTATTCCTTCCTCATAAAGAATGGGTGTTTAGCTATTTTTTCATTAAATAATATGCGAACAGGAGAAGATTCCCTCTCTTTAACAATATGATCTGGAACGCCTACTTTTTAATGGCACAGGTTTACGCCAGAAAATGCTTAGTAATTGTAAACTGAAATCCGTTTGGCTGCACTGATATCTATCTTTAATTTAATGACATTTAATTAGCTGGTTTTTATCTCCTTTTATTAAACAAATATGTTTAGAGAATATCTTTCTCCAAATTTAATGAATTTCATTAAAGCTTTTTGTCTTTTAGGAATGCTATATCGAATGCCAATTAAATATTAGCCTAAAAGAAATTGGTTGCCTTCATAATAGGATAAAACGATATTCAATGGAAAGCACCATGTGTCCTTTTGTCGACTATAGTACGTAAAAATTAGAAATTCATTATTTTTTTCATATTATTTCTGATGGAAGTTTTCTCTATTATCAGCCGGTAGCAGTACATTAAGTAGGCGTTAACTTCCTCTTGATGAATGCACTGATTTACACTAATCAGAGCTGCTATGACGTCATGAGGGGACTGCAAGACCTCCGGTTTGATTTGCTTGTTTTTATAGGACACTTTGGATCGAAACAGGATATATTATATATATATATTATACATAATTATTATATATATAGTTATATATATATATATATTCATATATGTTTTATATTTTTATATATATATATATGTATATATATATATTCATACATA